AAGAATGAGGAAGGGGAGAAGCAGAGAACACAGGTAGAGATGACATGTCTGTGCAGATATAAGATTCAGACTTCCTGTCTATTTCCTGCTCTCACAATTGGTTAAACAAAAATTGGCTCCAGAACCAAGCCCTAAGTGGACTAGAGTTCACTGTTCTGCCAGCAGAGGAGCAGCTATTTATTCACATTCTTTGTTCCCCATACTTAATCCTTGGCTGACTTCGCCCTTTGCTCCCAAATACACCATCTCCCTTAATTATCTCCTCTGCTGTGAGGCTGCTTGGGAAGAGAATTACAGATTGAGTTCATCCTACCCGAGGGTTCCTGTCCTTGTCTGGCACTCGCTCTGTGTTGCAACGTGTGAGGCTTGCGCTGGACACGGCTCAGAGGTGGACCCGGCCTCGGGGCCTCCAGACACGAAACTAGACATACAGGATACAAGTGAGGAATAATAAATAAATAACGGCAGAGGCAGAAATCGGTTTTAGTTTAAGTTTCTCAGGGCGCCCACATCTGGAATGCAGGGACCATGTCTGGTTTTGGATGTGGTTCAGGTTTGGCCCTCCTTGGCTTGAATTTCTCTGAGCTGAGCCAGTCTACCTGGCTGCGGTGGTACTGTTTTCTTCAAAGAGAGTGAGCAGACATGTTTCCATTTCCATGCTCGGTGACCGGGTCCAAACAACACGTGGGTGGTTGTACTGGATGAGCCTTAAGATCCTTTTCTACCTGGAGGTTCTGTGATTCATGTAAAATGGGTGTGCACCCCTGACAATTTGTTGGTGGTGATTTCCTCTGCTGGGTCTGGCTTCCTGTTGATTCTACTTTACCGAATATTGCCAAATCCATTCATTATTTTCCTCCACCGGTTCTTCCTAAGTTCATATTTCAGTTGCCTGAATGACTTGCAATGGCCTCTGCTATGGACTGAATGTTTGTAACCCCCTAAAATTCATATGGTGCAGCCCTAACCCTCAATGTGATGGTATCGGGAGATGGGGACTTTGGGAGGTAATTAGGTTTAGATTCGGTCATGTGTGTGGGGCCCCTATGATGGGATTAGTCCCCTTATAAGAAGAGAAAGAGACCAGAGCCTTCCCCCTCTGTGATGTGAAGATACAGCAAGAAGGTGGCCATCTACAAGTAGGAAGAGGGTTCTCCCCAGATGCTGAATCTGCCAGTACTGTGATCTTGGACTTCCCAGCATCCAGAACTGAGAGAAATAGATATTCGTAGTTTAAGCCACCCAGTCTATTGTATTTTGTTATAGCGTCCCAAACTAAGACAGTCCCCAAACTGATGTCTCTGCTTCCACACTGTGGTCCCAACCCTCATACACATTAAAATGCATGTTAAAATGCATAGATTTAATAAATTAATGCTTTCACACACATACTCACACACAAAAAAATCAACACTTATCAAAGAAATTATAAGAGTTTCTCTTTATGTCCTCAGAACAAGAAGGTGCTCTTAAATAAGTTGCAAAAAGCATCAAGTAAAAAGAAAAAAAAGTGATAAATTTGGCTATATTGAAATTAAAACTTATGTGGAATAAAAAAGATACTTACACCAAGAGGCAAGCCACAGACTGGGAGTAGATATTTGTAACTCATAATAAACAAAGGAACACTTTCTAAAGTATGTAAAGAACTCCTATGAATCAACAAGAAAAAACAAACCAATAGAAAAAGTGATAAAGATATGAACAGGGAATTCAGAAAAGGGGACATTTGTGTTGCTAATAAATACGTGAAAAGATGTTCAACCTAACCAGAAATCAGGCGAATGCCAGTGAAGGGCTTCCCTGGTGGTCCCGTGGTTAAGAATTCGCCTTCCAATTCAAGGGACATGGGTTCAATCCCTGTGGGGAACTAAGATCCCACATGCTATGGGGCAACTAAGCCCACGCACCACAACTACTGAGCTCAGGCACCTCGACTAGAGAGAGCCCACGTGCCACAAACTACAGGGCCCACGCTCCCTGGAACCCGTGCGCCACAACTAGAGAGAAAACACCTGTGCGCCACAACTAGAGAGAAGCCCAGGCTCTGCAACGAAGAGACTGCGCGCCGCAACGAAAAATCCTGAGCGCCAAAACTAAGACACGACGCAGCCAAAAAAATAAAATAAATAAATATTTTTAAAAAACTGCGTGCGTAGCTTGGTTTCACTTAAAAAAAAAAGGAATGCAAATGAAAATGTGACATCATTTTATATCCACCAGGTTGGCAAAAATTAAAAGTCCAGTGAGACCAAATGTTGTCAGGAATGTGGGGAAATTGGGGTTGTCTTATGCTAATGGCAGGAATAGAAATTAGTAAAGCCATTTTGGGGATGGATTGAATGCTCTCTAGTAAAGATGGATATATCCTCTGATTCTTATTAATTCCTCTCCTAGGGGGATGTATGTACAAAGAAAGAGTCATATATCAGGATATTTGTAATAGCTGCAAGTTGGAAATAATTTAAATTTCCATCAAAAAGGAGGTGGGATAATAAAGGTTGCACAGTCCTATAATGGAACGCTATTATAGCAGTTACAATGATAGAACAAGTCAATGTATCCAGTTGAAGGACCATGAAAACATAATGTTAAGGGAATTAGTGTTTGATGGGTATGGAGTTTTAATTCAGGAAGAGGAAAAAGTTCCAGAGATGGATGGGTTGGTGATATTTGCACAACAAAATGAATGTAGTTACTGCCATTGAACTGTATGCTTAAAATGGTAAATTTTAAGTTATATCTATTTTACCACAATTTAAGGGGAAAAAAACCCCCATAATGAACAGAATTAGGCGCACCATGAAATGCATTGTATGATATGCTCATGACATTTAAAAATATTAAAGAATCATAACTAACTAAATAAAGCATTAAACATATTGAATATGTATATATATGATCAATTCATAAAGATGTGAAGGATAGGCTTACCTGCTGGGAGGGAGAGGAGGAAAGTCTGAGGTCGTAGCTGTGGTAGAACTCTATCTGTGACATTTTATTAAAAACAAAAAATCTAAGAAAACTCATTAAATGTTAAAACAAAATAGGTGTTACACCCATCTCGACATTGTTCCGTCTGAAGACAGGGGGCGGTCTCTCCATCTGTGATCGGGCTTTTATGTGTCACGTGCTCTCTGGCCTTGCATCTGTTCAGGACCAGCTCTTAGCCTTATATTTCTGGAGGTCCTTTTATGTCTCAGGCACATTGCTAGGCGCTGGGAACTCCATGATGAACAGCACAGGCATGGGTGCTACTCTTAGCATTTTCCTCCCAGGGATGTTCTTGCACAACGGTTTTCCAAGAGAGGCCCCTGGATTAGCAGTATCAGCCTCGCCTCGGAACTTACTGGAAATGCAACTTTGGGGGCACCACCCCAGACCTGTTAACTCAGGTGCTATGGGGGTGGGGCCCCATATGGGGTGCGGCCCCATATGGGGTGCTTTCACGAGCCCTCCAGGCGATGCTGGTGCACGCTCAAATTTGGAAATCATTGCTCTTATATAAAGAAGAGAATGCTATCTCCTTTGTACACCCCATCTGAGGTGGAGGTGGGCAGGGGGTGTCCCAAAGTGTTCCAGAGGTGAAGAAAATGCCCTTTCATCACGGTTGCATACACCACCCCGGTTCTGGTGCCCGCTGCCCTGGGGCGCTTGGGACTCCCTCCCCTGTCCCCTCCCCACGCTCAGCCTTGGGGCTTGCCTGGTTTCCTAGTCAGACTCAGCCTCCACGGACCCTCCCTCGAAGCTGCTCACACCAGGTCCTCTGTCTACGTACGTCCAAACTCCTGGGGCTGACCGAGTTCAAGTCATTTTCCCAGAAGTACTACAGCGCCCAAGGGCAAGTTGGAAGCAGTTGGATACCTTGGTACCGGAGTGTCTGTGCTCCACGGGCCCACGGACACTCCATCCCAGCTCCTGCCTGGTCAAGATATCCGACTCCTCTCCTTAGTTTCACATTTAAGACCCTCAGTGACTTGACCCCATGTGCCTTTCTCTCTCTCCCTCCTGAAAGAAGACTCTGGAAAAAACAGCACTTTTCCTTTCTCATAGAAGATATTCACACTTTCCTGTCTCAGAGGCTTATATTTTCTTTTATTTTATTTGGATTTCTTCTGTCTGGAGTAGACTCTTTCCATAAATGACAACTCCACTCTCCCCACTTCAACCCCCATACGTACTTACCATTTCAGAGCAGCCTCAAATGCCATTTCCTCCCTCTCTAGCTGAAGGCGATTGCTTCTTCCTTTGTGCTCTCCTAGTCCAAGGCTTTATCGGCTTCTGTAACCTGCCATTTCTCTCTCCCATTTCATTTTGTATTCCAGTGTTTTGTGTATTTGTCTTATTAAATCATGAACTTAACTTATTGTCTTATTCAGACATCTGAGTCGAGACAATTCCTTTAAGGATGCTGAGCACACTTTCAAGCTCAGGTGATATCAATAAGGGTATTGTTCCAAAGTGTCTAAGACGTGGTCTTCTGTCCTCAAATTACTGGAGGACTAGAGGGGGAGACAGGTACCTTGTTTATGCAAGGCGACAGAGTTCAGGACAGGGTGATGTGTTTGCCTGGAGGAGAGAGACACTGATTCTGCCTGTGAAGGCGTTGGAAGCGGGATGGGTTGACGGAGAAGTTCTGCCTGGAAGCTGTCAGAGTGAGGAGATCTCATTACAAGAAAGTGTAAGACGATGGGAGGCTGAAACAGGGCAAAGATGTCCTCTCCATTTTCGAGGAGAAGAGACAGAAAGGCATAGATGGCAAAGAAGAGGGGTAAGTACAGTTCACAGAAACCAAGGGAAGAGTATGTTTCTGTAGGAATGGAGTTAGAATCAGGACCAAAAGTTAAGTAGAGAGATGCCTTTGATACAAGGTCATCCTTACTGCCAGACTTTTTCTGCGGTACACGGGCCTTTCACTGCTGTGGCCTCTCCCGTTGCAGAGCACAGGCTCCGGACGCGCAGGTTCAGCGGCCATGGCTCACGGGCCCAGCCACTCCGCGGCATGTGGGATCCTCGCGGACTGGGGCACGAACCCGCGTCCGCTGCATCGGCAGGCGGACTCTCAACCACTGCGCCACCAGGGAAGCCCTACTACCGGACTTTGCAGGAACTACAGGAGGGACCTAACCTGAGAACAAAGGTAATTGCCTTGCAGGATCTCCCGTGGAAACTGAAGGCAACTCTTTGAATTTAAGGTTTGGTTTCTATTTGAACTTCCTTATTTGCAGGATTTAGAGTGGTGTTTTTTCAATCTACGGACTGTAGGTATATTTAAGATATACATTTTTCCCTTTAGAAAGAGTCTATAGTAATTAGGTTGAGAAGCGCTGAATTACAATTTTCCTCCCAGTGTGTTTTGCGCAGTCTCAGTCTGGCCAGTAGGAGGCAGCATAACCTCATGCTCTGAGTCAGGATCCTTGTTGCTGGAGTCGGCTCTGGCCCAGGGAAGGAGGCTTCCCTCCGTTCTGTGCTTCCGTTTCCTTCTTTACCTCCTGAAAAAGGTAGGAATTAACTAATAGCCAAACATTTTCAAAACGTTAAATGATCTGGGGGTGCCGGGTAGAAATCACAGCTGAATATAGTCCCAATCCCTCTCTGACTTGGCCCTGAAATCTGAAAAGCTCAAAGCTTGTCACAAGGGAGTCTTGTTCCTATTTCTGCAAACGGAAACTCTGGTATGTAAATTCACAAAAGACAAGGATGTCCAGTATGTAGATGTAAGTAAACTAAAATAAACATCACAGCAAACTTCCACCTGTAGGTATGAAAAAGTGGAAAAGCAAGGGTTTTTCTGGCCGTTTCCATTTCCATTTTGTTACTTTAATGCTCTAAAATTGTTTAAAACAATTATATTACTTTTGAATATATTAAAGCAGTCATTTGTCTATTGCAAACACTGTATATTACTATCTGAAAGAGCTGAAATATTAGGTCTGATGTATTATATTTGCAAGTCCCTCCACTTCCCAGAGGCAGCAAAGCATAGTGGAGACGCATACCAGCCCCTCCCTCCAGCTGTGTGACCTCAGAGAGGTGGTCCAACCTCTCTGATCTTCCCAGCACCTATGAAATTGGACAGGTCATAATAGTACCAACTGGGTAAGCTTGTTGGTGAACATGAAACAAGAGCCTGGCACATAGTGGACATTCAGTAGATATTTCAGGAAATTATTAGTGGCTGGATATTTGGTCCCTAATCTAGAATATGACGTGAGGCATTCGATTGGGTACCTTCCAGATATCAGGTTCTATGGGATATGGTGAAATGATAAAATGTATTTTCATTTTGGTTTTGTTAAAACCACCCTCACGTTAAACACCTACAGAAAAGTTACTCTGCTGATGTTTTTTTTTTTTTTTTTGCGGTACGCGGGCCTCTCACTGTTATGGCCTCTCCCATTGCGGAGCACAGGCTCCGGACACGCAGGCTCAGCGGCCATGGCTCACGGGCCCAGCCGCTCCGCGGCATGTGGGATCCTCCCAGACCGGGGCACGAACCCGCGTTCCCTGCATCGGCAGGCGGACTCTCAACCACTGCGCCACCAGGGAAGCCCTACTCTGCTGGTCTTGACCATGTTAAAGCGGTCAGGATCACGCGCTACATCCTCAAAAGGCCTCAACTGCTTTTTCTGTCCCCATAAATGAATTTCTTTGGGAGGTGAACTTCTGGGCTGAGCACTGCAGCTACTGTCATTCACTAAACAGGATTCCAAGCCACTCATGGGAATTAATGGACATGATTATGTTTGGGGGACCTGTGAAGGAGAATCAGTATATAACTAGAACAAGAGCCATGTGAAAAATGGTTGTGTGGTCATATGTGTTTGGAAACCCTGCATACTACAGTCTCCTCCTAGAGACTCATCATGGGCTGCCATGGATTAAAAGCTCCAAGCAGCTCTGTCCAATAGAAATGGCATATGAGCCGCAGGTGCAACTTAAAATTTTCTAGCAGCCACGTGAAAAAAGGAACAGATGAAATCGATTTTAATAATATATTTTATTGAACCCCATTTACCCAAAATAGTACCATTTCAACCTGTAACCAATATTTTAAAAGAATTTAAATTATCTCAGTCTTTGATAGACGACATGTATTTTAACACCTAGCGCACTTCTCAGTTGGGATTAGTCACGTCTCAGTTGGGATTAGTCACGTCTCAAGTGCTCTGGGACCACACGGAGCTAGCAGTTACGTTATAGTATGACTCAGGCTCAGAGAATCCGTGCTTGGAGGGAACCCCAATAGAACCTGAAAAGGCCCCAAGAAGTTACAGGGAAAATAATGGAAAAGAATAGAAGGCGCATTTAGGTTACCTTAAAAGCCAAGATCTTAGAAGAGAGACTGTCCAGAAAAGTCTTAAATGACAACAACTTAAGTTAGGGTTAAAAACTGACCAATCTCAGCATTTTTCTTAAAACCCCAGGCGGATATGGGCAGAGGCACCTACGGTCCAGATGAGGAGGTGGTATGGTCTTGTGTTTACTGACCGCTCTGAATTCTCCTTTAATCTTGTGTTCCTCTGCTTCTGGGTGTCTATAGGTGGAGGCTGGACGGTGTTGCGTGATTTTTTAAACATCTTCAAATCACGTACGTTAGCAGCAGCCCCTTCTCAAACTCTTCAGCAAGAGGCAATTTTTGTTCCCCGTCTCATCCCACTTTTGTGCTCCCAACCTTTTCACTGTGTCTGCGAGCTTCACTCCCCATCCTGACTCCCCCGACTTCGTCTCATCTTTGGGCCAGCTCTCTTTCCCCAGACAGAAGAAGCCACAGACTTGAAATATTTGGTCCCCTCCTGACCTGTTGTGAAATACTTCCTCTCACGTGCCTCTTAAAAAAAAAAAATGTTTTATGATCCCGCGTATTCATCCACATGGTTCTTTATCAGTGCCGCATAATTGTACCATGAACCGCAGCCATAAGTTAAAGACCTTCTCTAAACTCTCAGTGATTGCCCTGGACCGTAGTGTAGGAGGGAAGATGGCAGAAGTTTAATCAGAGACTAGGAGTCTTTCAGGAGAACATCCAGCCTACCTCAGGACTCATCCAAAGGCTGCTTGCTTTTCCCTCCCAAGCTTTTCGCTTGATCCAAGGTCTGTTAACAATTTGAAAGTCAAATCCCCCTCTCGGGTTACGGAATGGGTATCTCCTTTTGTCGTGAAAGGGGGTGTGTAATTATTCCGTCCAGGTTCAGACACCTGATCCCAGCTGGTAGATCCCCCAAGGACACTCCTTCAGCACTAAGCTCCCAAGTTACCTTCTCAAGTGGGCAGTGCCACGAAACCAAAGCGGCCATCCGATTGCCCCTCCTGGAAGGCAGCAAACATCTGCTGGGCTCCAAGGACCGTGTTTTATGTAAACACACCCAGCTCACTCCATCATCTGGAGACGTGTGTGGAGAGACAGGCAGTTGAGCTGGGACCACATGCTTTCGATAATCTTTTGGCAAAGTGAGTGTTTCCCGAAGCCAGGATTTGTCATTATCCTTTCTCTTTCTTAGCTGTGAGAAAAATAGATACATTTTTTGTTGGTTGCACTTTTTGAAAGTCACTTGTCTGTTTTTTGGTGCCCGAAATGACTTCCAAGGCTATGAATGTCGATTTTGGTTACTTTCCCTCCCGTGGTTGAGGTTGCTTTCCTTCTACAGCGGGAGAGGAAAGATGGGCAGGAAAGATGACCTAAAATGACCAAGACAGATTGTAGTTTAGGGCAGAGGGCCCATTCCCCTGTCTGGGCCTGTCTACACCTCCAGCCTGGGCGCCTGCAACTTCCTGCTGCTTCACCCGTATCCTCCCAGCTAACGTTTGCTCTCAGGAGCTGATGAAGGTGATTTATACCTTAGCTTTAGGGTTTTTTTTTTGTTGTTGTTGTTATAATACATATATCATAAAATCCACTCCTTTTAAGTGGTTTGTTAGTATATTCCAACAGTGTACAACTATTACCGCTAATTCCAGAACATTTTCATCATCCCTAAAAGAAACTCTGTGTTGAACAGTCATTCCCCTCACCCCCAGCACCAAGCTACCTTCTGTCTCTAGAGATAGGCCTCTTCTGGACATTTCCTATAAAAGGAATCCTACAGTATGCGAGTTTTGTGTCTGGCTTCTTTCACTTAGAAGAACGTTTTCAAGGTTCGTCTATGGTGCAGCATGAATCAGTACTTCATTCCTTTTTATGGCTGAAGAATATTCTGTGTTCCTCACTTGGTTTATCCACTCATCCGTTGATGGACATTTGTGTTGTTTCCACCTTGCGGCTAATACGAATAATACTGTCGTGAACATTCCTGTACAGGTTTTTGTGTGGATATAAATGTTTTCATTCCTCTCGGTTATATCCTTTGGAGTGGAATTGCTGGGTCGTGTGGGAACTATGGTTAACTTTTTGAGGGACTGCCCACTGTTCTCCAAGTTGGCTGCGCCGTTTCACACTCCACCAGCAATATCCGAGGGAGCCACTTGTCCACATCCGCAGCAATGCTGGTCACCGTCTGCCTTTATGCTCGTGGTCATAAGTGTGGATGTGAAGTCCTATCTCATTGTGGTTTTTTTTTTTTTTTTTCCGTACGCGGGCCTCTCACTGTTGTGGCCTCTCCCGTTGCGGAGCACAGGCTCCGGACGCGCAGGCCCAGCGGCCATGGCTCACGGGCCCAGCCGCTCCGCGGCATGTGGGATCCTCCCGGACCGGGGCACGAACCCGTGTCCCCTGCATCGGCAGGTGGACTCTCAACCACCACGCCACCAGGGAAGCCCTCTCATTGTGGTTTTGATTTGCATTCCCCTGATGACTAATGACGTTGAGCATCTTCTCATGTGTTTATTGGCCATTTGTCTGTCTTTGGAGAAATGTCTCTTCAACTCCTCTGCCCATTTTTCAATTGGGTTGTCTTTTCATTGTTGAGCTATAAGAGTTCTTTATGTATCCTGGATACTAGACCCTTACCAGGCATAAGAGTTGCAAATATTTTCTCCCATTTTGTGGATCATCGTTTTACTTTCTGGATAGCTTCCTTGAGAGCAAAAAAAATTTAATCTTCATGAAACCTGATGTATCTATTTTTTATTTGGTGCCTGTGTTTAGGATATTTTTATGCTACATCACCTCTTTGAGTGTACTTTTGTTTTAAATTTTAACTT